GTTTCTGTGATGTCATCGTTGTCCCTATGATGTCACCAATATCCCCCCACTGTGATGTCACCGCGGTCTGCGTGATATCACTGCTCTTCTGTGATTGTCACCGATTTCTTCTGTGTTTTAACCGGATTGTACCTTGTGATGTGTCACTGCGTTCCTGTATGTAAATGTGGTCTTTGTGATGTTCATGTGTCCTTGTGATCTCACCAATGTTTATGTGATGGTCATTCTTTTTTTGGGGGGGGGTCCCTGTGATGTCATCAATGTCCCTGTGATGTCACCGCTGTCATTGTGATGTCACCGCTTCCCTGTGACTTCACTGATATCCCTGTGATGTCACCAGTGTCTCTGTGATGTCACTGCTGTCTCTGTGATTTCACCGCTGTCTCTGTGATGTCACTGCTGTCCCTGTGATGTCACCGCTTTCTCTGTGATGTCACCGATGTCTCTGTGATGTCACCAATGTCTCTGTGATGTCAGTGCTGTCCCTCTGATGTCATCGCTGTCCCTGTGATTTCACCACTTTCTCTGTGATGTCATTGATGTCCCTGTGATGTCACTGCTGTGACTGTGATGTCACCGATGTGTCTGTGATGTCACCACTGTCTCTGTGATGTCACCCATGTCCATGTGATGTCACCGATGTCTTTGTGATGTCACCTATGTCCTTGTGATGTCACCGATGTCTCTGTGATGTCATTCCTGTCCCTGTGATGTCATCAATGTCCCTGTGATGTCACCGCTGTCATTGTGATGTCACCGCTTCCCTGTGACTTCACTGATATCCCTGTGATGTCACCAGTGTCTCTGTGATGTCACTGCTGTCCCTTTGATGTCACCGCTGTCTCTGTGATGTCACCACTGTCTCTGATGTCACCACCGTCTCTGTGATGTCACTGCTCTCTCTGTGATGTCACCGCTTTCCCTGTGATGTAACTGATGTCCCTGTGATGTAACTGCTCTGCCTGTGATGTCACCGCTGTCTCTGTGATGTCACCAATATCCCTGTGATGTCACCAATGTCTCTGTGATGTTACCGCTGTTTCTGTGATGTCACTGCTGTACCTGTGATGTCACTGCTGTTATTGTGATGTCACTGCTGTCCCTGTGATGTCACCGATGTTTCTGTGATGTCATCGTTGTCCCTATGATGTCACCAATATCCCTGTGATGTCACCGCTGTCGCTGTGATATCACTGCTCTCTCTGTGATGTCACCGATTTCTCTGTGATGTCACTGCTGTTCCTGTGATGTCACTGCTGTTCCTGTGATGTCACTGCTGTCTTTGTGATGTCACTGATGTCCTTGTGATGTCACCGATGTCTCTGTGATGTCACTGCTGTCCCTTTTGATGTCACTGCTTTTCCTGTGATGTCACTGCTGTCTCTGTGATGTCACTGCTCTACCTGTGATGTCACCACTTTCTTTTTGATGTCACTGCTGTCTCTGTGATGTCACCGCTGTCTCTCTGATGTCACTGCTATCCCTGTGATGTCACTGCTCTGCCTGTGATGTCAGCGATGTCTCTTCAACCAGACTGCAACCACCACTTTTCAATCAGACTGTGACCACCACTGTCAACCAGACTGCAGATCACCACTCTCGACCAAACTGCAACCACCACTCTTGACCAGACTGCACCACCACTCTCACCAACAGGGTTTATTTCCCCTCTCCCTTTCCTTTGGGCCCAGGGGGGCCAAAAAACACCACTCTGTTCATGCCCCAGGGTGCTGGGTTATACATTTGGGTTTGGTGGGTTAAAACCAACTGTTTGTCTGTATAATCGTACTTATTGTGTTATTTTATTAAATTGTTATTCTGACTTATAATCTCTCTTTTGGGTTGAGTTCATTTCCCCTGCTGGTTTACCTTTAAACCAGCACAGTCAGACTGCTGAAATTACCGGGGTCTTACTCTGCTCCCCATTGCTGGCAAAATCCTGGCAAGAATACTCTTGAACAGACTAACACCCACTATAGCAGAAGGAATTCTCCCTGAAAGCCAATGTGGTTTCAGAGCCAACAGGAGCCCCACAGACATGGGATTTGTCCTCAGACAACTGCAAGAGAAGTGCAGGGAACAGAACAAAGGTCTCTATGGAACCTTTGTTGACCTCACCAAGGCTTTCGATACTGTGAGCAGGAAAGGTCTGTGGCAGATTTTGGAACGTTTAGGTTGTCCCCCCAAGTTCCTTAAAATGATCATCTCACTCCATGAGGATCAGCACGGCCAAGTCAGTTATGGCAATGCACTTTCTGAGCCCTTTCTAATAACCAGTGGTGTGAAACAAGGCTGCGTTCTCGCTCCAACCCTATTCACAGTCTTTTTCAGCAGGATGCTCCAAAGGGCCACGGCAGACCTCGAGGATCAGGACGGGATCTACATTTGATACCGTACTGATGGAAGCCCTTTCAACCTAAGGGGACTGAAGGCCCACACCAAGACCTTAAACCATCTTGTCCGGGAGCTGCTTTATGCTGATGACGCCGCCCTCGTCGCTCACACAGAAGCAGCTCTGCAGCGTTTAACATCCTGCTTTGCAGACACTGCTGACCTCTTTGGGCTGGAAGTCAGCTTAAAGAAGACAGAAGTTCTCCATCAACCTGCACCTCAGGAAGTCTTCCATCATCCCCACATCACCATTGGCCAATCAGACCTCAAATCAGTCCAGCAGTTTAATTACCTAGGCAGCCTCATCTCCTTGGATGGTGAGATTGACAGAGAGATGGACAACAGGTTAGCAAAGGCATATAATGCTTTCCAAAAACTCCATAAAAGAGTTTGGCAAAATAAACACTTGAAGAAAAGCACAAAGATCAGTGTTTACAGAGCCATTGTGCTGTCTACTCTCTTATATGGGTCCGAATCCTGGGTCATCTACAGCCACCACCTGCGACTCCTGGAACGCTTCCATCAACGCTGCCTCCGTACAATCCTAAACATCCACTGGTCAGATGATGTGACCAACACATCTGTTCTAGAACAGGCAGCAGTCACAAGCATTGAGGCCATGTTGCTGAGAACACAGCTGTGCTGGGCAGGGCACGTCTCCAGGATGAAGGACCAACCACCCCCTCCCTAAGATCGTGCTCTGGGGTGAACTTGCCACCGGCTGCTGCAAGAGAGGAGCCCCAAAGAGGAGATACAAGGACTGCCTGAAACAACATCTCAGCCTTGGCCACATTGATCTTCATCACTGGTCTACTCTGGCCTCCAGTCGGGAGGTCTGGAGACACCCCATCTCTAACGCTGCTGCTTCCTTTGAGAACGCAGCAGGATCACCATCGAGGAGAAAAGACAACGCAGAAAGAACCGTGTCCTGTCGATCCCATCCAAGGAGTCTTTCTGCTCTGCCTTTTGCAACTGGACGTGTCTATCTCGTATTGGCCTCTTTAGCCACCAGTGTGCTTGTAGCAAATGTGGGCAGAGCCCTTCCCAAATCTTCGTTCATGCAGCCTAGCCATGATTTTGGATCTTAATTTGGGAGTCTGGACTCATTGGTTTATTTGGTTCTGGAACTGGTCTTTGGTTTATTTGGTTTTGGAAACAGGTATTTGGTTTCTTTTGTATTATGGGTACTTCAGGTTGCAAAGAAAGAATCTTGAAGAAATCCTTTCTGCTATTTTGGATATTAACTTGTGATTTCTGGACTTATAAGTTGATTTGGCTTTGGAAACTGGTATTTGGTTTATTTTGTATTCCTGAACCATTGGAAACAAATTGGGACCCCTTTGGAGGGACAAAGCTGTTGATGCTCCAGGGGTTCCAGGACCCTGAGGATTCCAGTGCCCACTGAAAGTGTTATTGAGGGAGATCCTCTCAGTCCCTGGATCCAGGGAGTTCCAAGCAAGATCCCTGGGATTTTATTAAGGCATTCAAAGGTTTATAAAAGCTATATAAAGGTATATAAAAGGTGTACCTAACAACATAGAAATGGAGCTCTATAATATAATATGATTGACTTATAAAAAGTTGTGATAGAACTGTAAAAGAAGAGGTGTGATGCCTCAGAGCTTTTTGGTTTTTTTTATCTTTTGTAGATTTTAGAAGTAGTGCTGTAGTGATTGTAGATTTTAATGCAGCTGCATTCTATCCCTTACCCTGTAGCATAATGTTTGCACATCCCCAACCCTGTTACCCCATCCCACATCAACCCCTCTAAATCCCGTTAGCGTGTTTAGTCTTCTTTTCAAGGTAGAATTGTAGAAAAGCCTGGACCAGAAGACATCACACAGACACAGCCACCTTCAAGCCCAGAACTCGGGAGGAGCTCCAAGGACTGTGGGTGCTGCGAAGAAGATGAAGCTGAGGAAGAAGGGGTCCCAAAGACCCCAAGCCCAATTCCCAAAGGGGTGTGTCAGGGGCAGAACGGGGCAGAAGTGGGGGGTGGAGAGATCTGGGGTTGGATGGACCTTGTTCTAAAATCCCAGAGCCACTGCCTGGGGGGTGCCCGTCGTGTGTGTTCCCCTGGCCTGAGGCTCCACTAAAGGACCTGCTCTCTTTATCTCATCTCATCCACTCCCCTGGCCTGGAGTCTTTTCCTCCGCGCTCTCTTGAGGCAACGGGGACTGGACCTACCAGGTGCTGGGGATGCTGGAAATCCCCCCCCGGTGCCGGGTGGAGCACGTCAGCCTGGAGCACCCCCTCAGCCGGGACTGGGGTACGGCCCGGCCCCCCCAGCACCGGGGGCACACTGGGAGGGGGGTGAGGGGCTCTGGGGGCTGTGGAGGGAACTAGGAGGGAGTTTAGGGGGTAAGGGAAAGGGTCTGCGGGGGAATGGAGAGGCTGAGAAGAGGTTGGTGGGTGCTGGGAGGGCTGAGAGGGGCTTTGGGGAGTCCTGGGGGCAACTGGGAGGGAGTTTTTTGGGAGCCTTTTGGGGATGGGAGCCACCTCAGCCAAGCCCAGCGCGCCCCAAACCCCCCAAAACGGCGCCGCCCGGCTGGTTTGGGGCTGTCAGCAGCTGTCCGGCGCTGGGCATGGAGCGTGTGCGGGGAGCTGGGGCCGTGCTGGCGGTGCTGGTGGTGCTGGGAGCCCCCCCGGCTGCGGGCGAGGAGCTGTCGGGTGAGCGGGGGGGGGCGAGAAGAGGGGTCAGGTGTGAAAGGGGGGGAAAGAGGGGAGAAAAGAGGGTGTGGGAGCCCCAAAAGTGAGTGCGAGGGGGGTTGGAAGGCCCGGAGTGAGTGGGAGGGTGTTGGGAGCCCCAAAGTGAGGGGGCGGGGTCTGGGGATTGTGGGGCCGGTGGGAAAGGGGTGGGAGAGGGGGGCAAGGGGGTGTGGGAGAGCAGGTAGAGGGGTGCCCTGGGGGTCCCTGGGTGTCCCTTGATCCCTGGAGCGGTTCCCTGGGGCTCTGGGGGGATGGGATCGGCATTGGGGGAGTCCCCAACCCCCCCTGTCCATCCCTAGGGGGTTGATGGGGAGATTCCCCCCCAGCCAAGAGCCGGTGCTGGGGCGTCCGTGGGGCAGAGGGGGGTGGGAAAGGGGGGTCCGGGGTGGCCCCCTGAGCTCCCACCCTGCTGGGGGGGGCTGGGGGATGATGGGGGGGGGACGGGGCACCCCCTGACCCGTGTCCTGCACACACAGGGGTGTTCCAGAGGATGTTCAAGGCTGAGTGTCACTTCATCAATGGCACCGAGCGGGTGAGGTTCATGGAGAGGCACATCTACAACTGGGAACAGCAACTGCAATTCAGCAGCGATTTGGGGGTCTATGTGGGGGACACCCCGGATAGGGAGATCCAGGCCAGGAACTTGAACAGTCTCCCAGGAAGGCTGGAGTATGCACGGTCTGCTGTGGACATGTACTGCTGGCCCTACTACGAACTTGATGCCCTGTTCAGCGTGGAGAGGAGAGGTGAGCGTGGGGCAGAGCGGGTCCCCTTGAGCCCTGCCCCGGGAATGACCCTGGAGCCCCTCAAACCCTCCCTGGGAATCAGTCCAGACCCTTCAGCCCTCCCTGTGCCCCTTCCCATGGCCTTTTGACAGATTCCAGTCCATCACAGTCTCCTCCACTCCTTCCAATACCCCCTAGTCTCTCCTAGTCCATTCCAGTTTTTCGTGATCCATCCCAGTCCATCCCAGTCTCTCCCAGTGCCCCCCCGCGTCTCCACCCCGCTGGGGCCACCGAGCTCACGCCCCTCAGCCAATCCCAGTGCGTCTCTCTGATGACGCTCCAGTTGCCAGGCAGACCCAAACCAAAGAGTTCCCTCACCACCACTCAGCCTCCCAGTCCCCATGGCTTCCTTCCCAGTCCACACCAGTCATTCCCAGTCAATCCCAGTCATTCCCAGTCCCACTACCTCCACTTCCAGACCCTCTCAGTTCATTCCCAGTCGTTCTCACTTCACTCCCACATCTCCCAACTCTCTCCCCAGTACCCACCAGCCCATCCCCTTCTACCCCACTCTATTCCCAGTCCCTCCCACTGCCATCCCAGTCCCTCCCAGTGCTCCCCAGTGTCTCCCAGCTCAGCCCAGTGTCTCCCCCGTCCCTCCCAGTGCCCCCCAGCGTGTCCATCTCGCTGGTGCCGTCGAGCTCCCAGCCCGGCCCCGGCCGCCTGCTCTGCTCTGTGATGGATTTCTACCCTGCGCCGGTGCAGGTGAGGTGGTTCCAGGATGGGCAGGAGGTGCTGGAGGACGTGTTTTCCACCAACGTGGTCCCCAACGGGGACTGGAGCTACCAGGTGCTGGTGCTGCTGGAAATCCCCCCCCGGCGCGGGGTCACCTACAGCTGCCAGGTGGAGCACGTCAGCCTGGAGCACCCCCTCAGCCGGCACTGGGGTACGGCCCGGCCCCCCCAGCACCGGGGGGGCAACTGGGGGCAACTGGGAGGGAGTTTGGTGGGTGCTGGGGGTGCTGGGAGGGGGGTTGGAGGGTCCTAAAGGGTCTGGGATGGGCGTGGTGGGATCCCTACAGGGGCTGGGAAGGGACTGGCAGAAGGTTTGAGGGACCCCCGGGTGGGCTGGGGGAGAGCGGGCCGGGCTCTGTGGGGTGCCGGGGGGTGCGTGGGAGGAGGTTTTGGGGGTGCTGACCCCCCCGGCTCCCTCCAGAGATGCCACCAGACACCGTCCGCAGCAAGATCCTGGTGGGGGTCGGGGGCTTCGTCTTGCGCTTGGTCTTCCTGGCGCTGGGGCTCGGCTTCTACCTGAGGGAGAAGGTAAAGGGGGGTCCCCAAATAGGGGTCGTGTTCCTTCCTTTGCTCTCCCACAGTCTGCGGGCCCCCCCTGCCCCCCCAACCCGCTCTCACCCCCTTTTCTCTCCCCACAGAGCTCCTGAGCCGCCGGCGGCCGCAGCCCCTCCCCGTGGCCTCGGGCCCAGCCGGGACCCCCCAGTCCATCCCCACACTGAGTTTGGGGGGTCGTGTTTCCCCCCAGGCCCTGCTTTCATTCTGACCCCAGCTGGCTGCTCCCAGTGTTCCCAGGAAAGCTTCCCAGTTCTCCCCAGTCCCTGTTATTGGGGGGCAGTGAGGGCAGGGGGGAGGGGATCCCTGTCATAGCTTTACTTCTTCTAAAAAACCAAGCAGGAATTTTTCTTTCCCCTGCCCCACTGGAAAAGAAAGATGTTCAATGGGGGAGGGGGCTTTGCCTTGGGTGACTCACACCCACAAAAGAACTGGCCCAGCCCACATTGCAGGTTGGGAGCCCTCAGAAGGCTCTGGGGGGGTGGAGTTTTTTGCTTTCTCCTGGGCAAAGGGCAAGGCCCTTCACTTTGGCCTTAACTCAGGCAAGGGGGGTGTTGGAGAGGCTCCAAGGTCCTTTTGTTCTCGGCCTGCTCATCTGGCTCTTTGCTGGTTCCCGTTTGCCTTCGTTTCCTGCGCCCTGTTCTGCCCCCAACCCGGACCTGCTCGGACTTCACGGGAGAGGTTTGACCCCCCTAGAGAGGAACCTTTTGGGGAGGAGGTCGCCCTTTCCCTCCTGCGCTCCCGTGTTGGCAGTGGCGTGTGTTCATCGGCCAAAAGGGGGAATTCCCGGCCACAGCCAGCCACAGACAGCGGGAGTTTCGTGGGAAGAGCCCCTTTTTCCCCTTTTCCACTTTTCCCCCTTTTTGTTGTTCTGCCAATACACAGATATCCTTTAAGAAAGAGCTGTTATTTTTCCTTTTTCCATACTGCCTCAACTGGAATCTCCTAATTTCCAATTTACAGTTGCTTAGAGGGAGGAGTTTGGTTTTCCTCATAACTCATCCCCCTCAGCAAAACACTTCAGTCTCACTCAACTGAGACAGAGGTGCTGCCCCATGCTCCTGCCCTTGCCATTGCACATCCCCACATCCCAGAGCCCCAGCAAGAGCCCTGAGGGATGAGGCAGGCACAGGATCTCCCTTCCCAGGGCTGGGGGTCAGGCCTTGGCCCTTTGCAAGAACAAAACAAATCCAGATGAGCTTTGTCCCCCTGTCCCACCATGTCCCCGTGCCCTTTTTTGGACTGAGCATCCTCATATCCTTTTTTGGACTGAGCATCCTCATATCCTTTTATGGAATTCCCTGCTCTGAGGGGAGGACTGATCATCCTTTTATGGAATTCCCCGCTGTGAGGGGAGGACTGGGCATTCCTGCCTGAACTGGAGAATATATAAACCTGGAGTTTCGGAACCCTTTTACCACTCGTGGGATCCAGAGGAGGACTGCAGCTCACCACTCTCAACCAGCCTGAGACCACCCCCCTCAACTGGACTGCAATCACCACTTTTGACCAGACTGCAACAGCTCTCCCACCAGTAGGTTTTTCCCCTCTCCCTTTACTTTGGATTAGGGGGGGGCCCAAGGAACAGCACTTTGTTCATGGCCCAGGGTGCTGGGTTCTACATTTGGGTTTTGTGGGTTAAGACCAATTGTTTTTCGTATGATTGCACTTACTGTATTATTTTATTAAATTGTTCTTCTGATTTAGAATCTCTCCTTTGAGTTGAGTTCATTTCCCCTGCTGGTTAACTCTTAAACCAGCACACTGGGGATGGGTTTGGGGGGGGGTGGTTTGGGGTGTTGGGGTTTGGGGGGAGGGGGGGAGACGCAACCTGGAGGCTGAATGTGGTGGGCTGGAATTTGGGGGGGTGGGGGTGGTCCAGGTCAGTCCTTGGGTGCCTGGATTTGGGGCTGGATCCCAAAATCCCCCTGTGTGTGTGTCCCCAAACCCCTCTGACTCCTCCGTGCCCCCCAGCACTACTGGATGGGGTTCTGGGGACCCCTGACCCCCCCGGGGACCCCCAAACACCCCGTGACCCCCCATTTTGTGCCCCTCAGTGACACTGGATGGGGCTCTGGGGACCCCCAAACCCCCCGTGACCCCCATTTTGTGCCCCCAGTGATGCTGGATGGGGCTTTGGGGACCCCTGACCCCCCTGGGGACCCCCAAGCCCCCTCTGACCCCTTATTTTGTGCCCCCCCCCAGTGACACTGGAGGGGGCTCTTGGGACCCCTGACCCCCCATGGACCCCCAAACTCCCCGTGACCTCCCGTTTTGTGCCCCCCAGCGACGCTGGGGCTGGGGCTGGGGCTGGGGCTGGGGGGGCTGGGGCTCACCTGTCCAACAGCCCCCTCACCTGTCCCACAGCCCCATCACCTGTCCAACAGCCCCCACACCTGTCCCACATCCCCCACACCTGTCCCACAGCCCCATCATCTGTCCCACAGCCCCCACACCTGTCCCACACCCCCTCACCTGTCCCACAGTCCCATCATCTGTCCCATAGCTCCTTCACCTGTCCCACCTGTCCCACAGCCCCCACACCTGTCCCACAGCCCCCTCACCTGTCCTCACCTGTCCCACCTGTCCCACAGCCCCCTCACCTGTCCTCACCTGTCCCACCTGTCTCACAGCCCCCCCACCTGTCCCATAGCCCCCTCACCTGTCCTATAGACCCCTCACCTGTCCCACCAGTCTCACAGCCCCCTCACCTGTCCCATAGCCCCCTCACCTGTCCCACAGCCTCCTCACCTGTCCTATAGCCCCCTCACCTGTCCCATAGCTGTCTCACCTGTCCCACCTGTCCCACAGCTCCCTCACCTGTCCCACAGCCCCCACACCTGTCCCACAGCCCCCAGCCCTGCCCTGAGCTCCGCCCTGCCTCACCTGGCCAGGCTCAACCCCAGGGCCTTCAGGTAACACACACCTGTCCCCCCCTATCTCAGGCTTCTGCAGGGGGTGCTGCAGAACTCCCCCTGTCCCTCCCCTGTCCCTCACCTGTCCCCGTCCCCCGGGGCAGCCCCTGAGGTGTCCCTGCCCCTCCCCAGGCTCCTGCAGGCCGAGCGGCGGCTGCTCCAAAACGCCGTCAGGAACGTCCTGGACGGGGAGTTACTGGGCAGGTTCCTGTACCTGAGCACCATGGAGAGGGGGGAGCTGGCCAAGAAAATCGGGACCACCCCGGATATGGTACGTGGGGAGGGGACAGGGACTGGGGTGGGACACCTGTGGGGATGGGGGAGCTGGCCAAGAAAATCGGGACAACACCAGATGTCGTATGTGGGGAAGGGACAGGGCCAGGGACTGGGACACCTGTGGGGATGGGAGAGCTGGCCAAGAAAATCGGGACCACCCCGGACATCGTACATGGGGAGGGCACAGGGACAGGGCAGGGACAGGGACAGGGGGAGCTGGCCAAGAAAATCGGGACAACCCCGGATATCGTACGTGGGGAGGGGACAGGGACAGGGGTGGGGCTGGGACAGGGGGAGCTGGGATGGGGGAGCTGGCCAAGTACATGGGGAGGGGACAGGGACAGGGGTGGGGCTGGGACAGGGGGAGCTGGCCAAGAAAATTGGGACCACCCTGGATATCGTATGTGGGGAGGGGACAGGGCAGGGACAGGGACAGGGGGAGCTGGCCAAGAAACTCGGGACCACCCTGGATATCGT